GTCAGTTCTGGAGAGAAATCCTGGAGTGATCTACAGAGAATTTCATAAGTTTTATAGAAAAAGTAAAGTCTAAAATGAAGTCAAATTATGTCCCAAGAAGTTTTTCAAGGAAATTGAAACGTAATAATTTTCCGTCACGAATTCATTTAGACGGAAATGTTGGTGAAAATCCTTCTGAAATGTGAAATCTCTTAGCAAATTTATTTCATGAAGTATGTATATGCCACATTTTTTAAACAGACCATTTGCATTCATTTCATACATTCATTTAGATTCATTTGCTTCTAACTTTTTTCATCAACAGCATTCCGCAATATGATGTATGGAGCTTTTGTAGGTTTTATTATTAGCTATAAGTTTTGGTCATAACTCAAATCTGTATCTCTTATGCATCACGAACTAGAGCGGGCAGAACTTGTTACAGTTTTTTCAGTGAATGTAAAATACATTCACTGAAAAACAGTAGTGGCTTCTGTTCACTCTGCTTCGTCATGCATAAGAGATACGGATTTGGCTTCTTAACAAAAGTTGTAGCTAATAACAAAACCTACAAAAGTTCTATACATCATTTTGCGGAATGCTGTTGAATAAAAAAGTTAGAGGCAAATGAATGTAAATGAATGCACGAAATGAATGCAAATGATTTTCCATGCCTGCACTCAGCTACTTCTAATCTTCTTGAATTTGTAACCTTCATTCTTAACTCAGTGGACAATGGCAAGCGCGTAGAAGCTCTTTATACTGTCTTCAGTAAAGCATTCTACACTGCAAATGTATTTTCGTTATTTCTCTGAAAACCATTTCGTAAAAATGAATATCGTACATAAAGCACATCTTTCATAAATGGTACGAAACATTCGTTTTTCCTGTCATATGGCGCAATGCTAGTATTACGCCTTATTCGTATAATATACAAATTCAACTTCGTACAATCAAACAACAACTGCGCTTTTTGTCTCATAAAGTGTTGGAGATGCTTACTTTTTTTCTTGAAATATTTTCGGTTTGACCAATACATGCAAAGCTACCACAATAAATCAAATTACTGGTCGCGGTGGTTTTATGCCAGCCAAAAAAAATACATACAAGCAGCAGAAAAAGCAAACGAAATCTAATTAAAGTTCTATGAGTGCTTCATATTTGCCTTTAACCTTACCATTACTCGTACCACAGATAGAGCGATGGATAAAGCACAATTATAACTATCACAAAGTTCATGATTCGAGTCCGGTCTGAAGACTTTTTTTAATTTTTTGTCATGTTTATTCCTTCCAATGATGAAGTTATTTTTACCCACCGTCACTAACACACTCCACATTTTTCGGTCTCCACAACCAACACTTGTGGCTCCCTGGTTGGGTCTAGCGATAGCGAGTGTGGCAGTTCTAACGAAACTAGCTTCATACAATGTACAAATCAATTTCCTTGCAGAAAACAACGAATAAATTCGTAAAACAAACGAGCGATTTCGTTGTATAAACGAAATTTTATTTTCAGTGTACCGAATCTACATACCATTATTACTTTTAAATTGCAAAAATAGGAATGAAATCTAGACTTTTGAATTGGCTCCAATCATTCTTAACATAACGCAAACAAATAAACTTTCAGAACCCATTTTGGTCACCTCTGGGGTGTCTCAGGGTTTTAATTTAGACCCAATTCTTTACATTTTGAACGTAAATGACATTTCCTACATACTTAAAAAAATAAAAGTACCGTAAAACGGGGTATCTTTGATAATGCGGGTAACTTTGATAGTATAATGTAAAGATTAAATTTAGTCGATGCGCTTTTTCCAAACTAGAAACATTGGTTCGATATTGTAGCTTAGGGTATTTCCGTTGATATCGTGTACAGTTTTTGTATGGTATGTGTTACATATTTTACAAACGTATTGAAAAACAATTTTCGAGTTTTCGCCTGTTTGAAAAAGCACTCAAACCATCACTTATGAAATGAATTTTCCTATATAGCCATCACAAATTCAATGTGGTATTCTTATTGTTTATGATATGTTCTGATTACATACTCTTTCAAAGTTTCATATTTAAAGAACTAAATTGTTTGAGTTTCACCCATTTCATCGAGCATTATCAAAGTAACCCCAAATCAAAAAACTAAAGTTCGGTCACAAAATTAAAAAATAGTGCAAATGCTTTAATTTTCGTTAAACATATTACACACGAATTGACTCTTGGATCCTCAGTACTTGTTTTAAAAATATAAAATTTGAAAAACATTCATTGCCGTAAAAAATATTTAGAATATACTTTAAAAAACTATTATGTTACCCCGTTTTACGGTACTTATATATGCAGACGACGTAAAGCTCTTCATGGAAATAAGTAATTCTAGCGACGCAGAAGAATTCCAGAATGAAATCCACTTCTTTTACACTTGGTGTAGTAAAAGTCAACTCCAACTCAACGTAACAAAATGTAACGCAATACTACATCATATAGGGGAAATGGCTCTAATGTTGACCTATGGATCTAATATTGAGCCCATCGCTAAAAACCTGCTATTTATCAATTTTATCTAGATGAACGCGTCATTGGGACCGTACTAATGGATATTTTTGGTCGCTAGTGAAAATTTAGTCGATTGCTGAATTAATGTATTGGCCCAAATTAGGGACATTTAGGCCGGCATTACATCCATTTCCCCTACATATATGAAGCATATGAATACACATGTACATCATATAAAGTACGCTGCATGCTCGTCAACTTTCAAACAGTCAAAGAACGCCACGAATTTGCAATGCTTTTTTTCATAAATGACATTATTTCATAACGAATAGAATCATCAGAATTACTCTCACAATTAAACTTTTACACACCCTGTCGGCACGGAAATTATTCTCAGCCACACAGAGCAAATTATACAGAAAATAACCCTTTCAATCCAATGATACGACAGGATTATACCAAATTGATAACAAGTTCTGATACCAGGTTATCAAGATTTGATAAGTGAACATGTTATCTTTGTGGTTGAATAAACAGCCAACATAACAAAAATTAAAACAAAAGAATACTTCAGGGATATCACAAAAATAACTAATTTAGTTATTATTGAAAACATCTTGATAACAAATCCTGTGATCCATGCCAATTTTTTCAACAAAATTCCAAATTATTTTATCGATTTGGTAGTAAAGCTTTACGCTGATAACTGAAATATGGTTGGCAGTGTTTTTTTTTTCTCACCATGTGTATAATATTTGAAGTTTTGAACTAACCTTGCATCATTTCATATTATTTCATGATATCAACTGATAACAAAATTAGTCGAGGTTGATAACTAAATTAGTTATGCGATAACAATTGAAAACAAAATGATATCTGGAAAAACAAGACTTGTTTTCAAGGTGATATCAGGTTGTTATTTTACTTTGCTCGGGTAATCTACATTGGGAAGTCATTGGCATCACTATGTCAAAAGAATAAATCAAGAACTGACTAAAACATAATAGAAATAATGCATAGCATTTCAGTAAAACAATCATTGTATGTAGTCCACTTTTGCTTGACGATATATTTTAGATTTATAGATTTTTTATAACAGTTCAAAGAGGATTGTAGAGTCAGTTCTGGAGAAAGAGTGATCTACAGATAATTTCTAGAGTTTTATCGAGAAAATTAGAAGGAAATACCACAGAGAATCTCAAGAAGAAATCTGAAAACAAAGAAAAATTATAGGATCCAAGGAAATACTATGAAAAATTCCAAGGAAAATAACCAAGTAATTCAGACATAGAAAATTTTGCACGATTCCAGGCATACATTTGTTTTCAAGTGTCTGAAACTTGCAAAAACACTAAAATTTAAGACTGGTTTGTAGAAATGATTTTTGTGTTTGGTCGTTGATTGATTATCCATTAACATCATTTTTCCATGTATTTTGTTTTATGATTGGAAGCATACTGATTTCGAATGACGAAGTATCGATGATATTTCAAATTTCAGTGTTATGACCCATTTGACCTTGTTGCCCATTTGGCCTCATCGCATTCTGCCTGATGCTTTTCCTAAATGCCTCATCACTAAACATCGTATTGCACTTGAAACATTCTGAAAATCATATTCTATCTTTATGTGTTTATTAACTGGACTTGAGGTTGTCAGATCTTCCAACCTTTGTGCATGTTTTATTTCGAAGGTCTTCGACACAATGGACACAATCAGTTGAAGGTGATTGCTTCAGATAATTTGCATGTAGCTAATTTACGTTTCCTAGAATGTTTTGATTTTCGCCGATTTTTTCACGTTAAAAGAGTTGTTTACAAAGAGGACTGCGCATTTAAGGGATGAACAAAAAATAGTTCGTCTTCCTTAGGCGATTTCTCTGATTTCGCGGATATTCCTACCTTCATGTGAGTCATGAGGGGCCTCCCAATTACTTCGTCAGTAAAGGCGTCAAAGTTTATTTTTGGGATTGAAAAATTTCCGTTCATCCCTGGGCATAGAACAAATTTGTGCTAAACAATCTCTCAATGTAAACACAGGGCACCGTTTTAGAAAGCTTTCACTCAACAAGCTCAAAGAATATTGTTAAGTCCAGATGGTAAGTTCCATTTGGCACGTATAAGCCAAACAAGAAGAAGAAGAAGAATATAAATCATATATGCAACGATGAAACTATGCAAGGTTTCCGAAGCTCACTTCGGGGATGACAGCCAAGGTAATAGATCCTCGTCCACGAGAAGCCATGTGGCTCGTCTTGAAAAACCAGTCTTTGATTCATAAAATTCATAACCGATTACGGCTGTCGCTTTCTCAACCTCACTCGAACGATATAGCGTGTGGTCATTCATGAGAATAAAAAAAAGCCACACTCTCAAAAGCTTAACTTTTAGTCACCACAACACCTGTTGTAAACCTTGTGCCAACAATCGCTCGCTCGAGTGTGACGCCACGGTCATAAATCAGCTGTGAAACGTATCTTTTCTTATCAGTCCACATGACAGTAGAATAAGGTTTGCGTCCACTTACCTCGGTCTATTTTGCATAAAATGTTGCCCTCCGAAGATGACCGCCATGTAGATTCCACAGTAGTAGAACACGTAGGTCCAGTTTTTGACCATCCAGACCCGAGTATCCTGGTGGATGAATTCATTTTCAAAGTCGAAAATGTACGAATAGTTTGGCGTGATCATCTTTGCTGCTGCTGCTGCTGCTGGTGGTGGTGCCGGAGCTGACGGTGGTTGTACTCGGAGTCTCAGGGGTGTGTTTTGATGCTGACTGTTGCGTCGGTGCTGTTGCTGGTTAAACTATTTTTGGTAACACTTGTTAGCGTGCTGCGGTTGCCAAACTATTTTTTACCCCAGATGGATTTTTATTTCTTCTTATATCACTTTGGATTTTGGATTTTAGCCACGCTTATTGAATTAATCACAACCCCGTGCTTTAAAAAGTAGAAAAAAAATATTTTTGTTACACTCGGCCTTCACAGATTATCCAACCGTTTGAACTAGTTTTCAACACTCTTTCCATTCACTGCAAGTTATCGAGCACTAACAACACATCGATAGAGACCAATGGGCTTCTCGTGCCACGATCACCACACCACTATCTCTCCTATTTTCTCTCGAATCTCGACTATTTTTTTGGGGATATTTTCAACTCCGTTGCCGGCAGCAGCATGTCCCATCGTACCACCTACCTAAACGTGAAGCCGAAAATTTCTTTAAATTAATGCAAAGTTTCGAAACAATTAAGTTTCGTGTCTCGAATAACTTCGCGTCTACGGCAACCGAAAGCAGTCACGAAAGGATTACACATAAATTTATTAATCGATTTCACGTTTAGCCGAACTTATAGAGGGGCATCCAAAGAGAAGAGTGTTTCGCTTGTCAGTGGAGAAAAAAGAGAGAAATAGTGGTGATTTCTTCTTCTTTGAAATAGACACACACGTAGGCCTAGTCGTCTTCGATAGAGCTTATATCACACACGCGATCACTTTTTCCTGTTTGGCTTGGGAGAAATTTTTCGCTCGCCAGACTTGGCATTCTTCAGGCTCACTTGCACAACTGAATCCTAGACCTCGGTGTCTGACCTTGTCTACTGAATAACGCCAATCGCACAAAAGGAAGAATAAAAGCCACTCACAAATACCACTTTCCCTTGGAGAGCAACCGGAAGTTTCCGGGAGATTATCTACCAAACTTGCTGATATGATTTATTGCCATAAGGGAGCGAAAAATTGCACACTGATGATATGAGCTGAATCCAAACCAGGACATTTAAACACCTGGAAAACTTAAAAGGTTGAAATTACTTCTCCTAGATGCAGGTCCTCAGCGTACTCCCTACTCCTGCGTGGATAGCGGTGTGGAACCTACACTGTGCGGTTTACAGTTGTACGGTCGATAACTGACTGGAAGTTGAACGAGCCAAGTCACAATTTTAAGCTAGCACTCCTCTCGGTCACGCTATGTTGCGAGGGGTTTTATAAAACTTTTCCGAACACCACACGCGCTCCGGTGCAAGAGAGGGAGAATAACTATTGGCAGCCGCTTGGTAAGCTCTCAGATGCCGCTAATCAAAAGGTGGATGATGATTCAGGCACAGTACCTGGAGCGAGCAAAACGCTGAGCACAGAAAGAGCGAATGCCCGCGAAACGCATTCAGAAGAGCAGAGCTGCATGCACGCAGACATGTGCTGTGACCGTAACTGGTACACTGGGGTGGTTCTGAAAATATATCTATGTGCATATCTTACAACGCGAAGTTTACCGCTGTCCTTTTTTTTTATTGGTTATAGTTCGGTTTGATTTTTCTAAAAAATATTGTCTTTTACAAATCGTCGCCTGCTGAAGGGTAACATGCATAAATGGCGAAGCATTTGAGGGTAATGGGAAAGGCGTTTCAGAAGTAGTAGGGTAGGAACTACTTCGGCCTAATCGCCCATTTTGGGCCTATCGAGCAGAAAACTTCAAATAAATCTATGATTTCAGAGTTAACAAGTAAATTATGCATTTGGTACGATACTTTAGTTAATAAGCTACGAAACGAAGTGAATGAGAATGCGTTATATGACGGTTTGCACCCATTATTCCCAAAAACAAAAGCAGCGCTCCGACCTAATCAATTTTTATTTTCATCCGATAGGCTGAAGTGAATTCATTGGCGTTTCAATGCGTTAGGCCGAGTTTGGCGTCAAGAAGCAGTGTTAGACTTTTGACAATATCTTAACGATTGGTCTCTCTTTATCAAATCTTACGGTACTTACGGACAGGTAAATTAATTTAGAAGCCATCAGTAATAATAACTTTCTGTTTGGTGCTAAATTGCGCTAGATTAAGAAAGACTAAGTGTGGGTTGTACTTAATAGGCCGGAAATGGGGTAGTTAACCCTATCCGGTCATCGCGTGTCGCAAAAAATGGTTTTCGAAAAGCTAACTTATTTACCCCTTGAAAAATATACTACCCTAATAAAAACTAAATAAACCACCCAAATGATAGAACTATTCCACAAATGCACAGTGGGCAAAAATTGACAAAACCGCGACTAAATTGAATATCTCGGCTGCCAAACGGTTTCAGTCAACATTATTATTATTTAGCTTTATTAAGGAGGCTTTCAGCCTTGGGCTGGTTCGCCTCCAACGCTTTTTTTTCAGTCAACATATTATACATAATCTCAAAGGAAAAATTCTACTGAATCGATTGGCGGTGGTTGACCGGAGACTTTTGCGTACCGAGGTAGAGGGCCGGGATCAACCCGAATTCCCGGTAAAGTTGGAAATGCCACTATTTATCGACATAATTTTACACTTTACTTAACGTATATTACTGGAAATTGATAGTACTAAGTATATATGGCGTAAAGACACCAAATACGCCCTCAGGTAAACTCTATTGGCCTAAAGGAGGATCCGGAAGGACCGATAAAGTGGCCACATTATAAAAATTGTCCTAGAACCTTTCAATTTTTTCTATGATGTTCAGAATCAAGACATCAAAGCGTATTTTATATGGAAACTATATTTTGGGGTATAGTGGCTATATTCTAGTTCTCCGGATAATCTGGATTGACCGATAAAGTGGCCACATTATAAAAATTGTTCTAGAACCATGTGATTTTTTCTATGTTGTACAGAATCAAGAGATGATCAAAGCGTATTTTATATGGAAACTATATTTTGGGGTATAGTGGCCATATTCTGGTTCTCCGGATAATCTGGATTGACCGATAAATTGACCACCACCGCCAATCGATTTAGCAGAATTTTTGCTTTGAGAATATGTAGGGGAAATGACGGCTTCGGCATGCTATTTTCGGCAACCCAAATTGAAACACTATTTTCACTGGATTTTCTTACGAAAACACTTCGCTGAATGCATGCAAACGATTCTTTATGCTTTCAGCTTCAATTTGACTATATTTTTACCACTGAGAAAAAGCAATCTAGCAAGGTTTTCTTGAAATGAAACACACGCACTACAAATTGTAGCTGATTTCGAGTTGCCGATAATAGAACAGCAGATTTACATGCAGTTCAAATGGAACGGTTGCCGAAGAAAAACTGGTTGCCGACAATACTCGCTCTCACTAGAGAAGATTGGAGCTTTGTAAAAACGTTTCAAAACAGTTTTTGACAATTCTTTCGACTGAAATTGTTAGAGCAGCTGGCAGCAAAAGATTGTAAACAAACCAATACTGCATATGTGTGCGTTCCATAGAGAAAAAGGCTATAGAAAGAAGGTCGCTGCTTAGGCTGCCGAGAATACGTAAATTCCCCTATAACATGTTGGCTGAAACCGTTTGGCAGCCGAGATATTCAATTTAGTCGCGGTTTTGTCAATTTTTACCCAGTGTGAAATGGTTTGGATGATACACCGAACCTAAGCAACATAACCATAAAAATGTATAGAATAGGCTAATAGAAACAATAAAGACTGTATCGAAAATAAGTTGTAAACATATTTGTTTTCAGCCCATAAAACAAATTTTTAAATGAAAAAAAAGGTTCATCACAAAAAAAAACAAATAAAAAACTATTTTTTAGGTAGGGGAAAAGTTGGCTTCGGCAATACCTTAACCTATTATTGTCAGGGGGTAAACAAAGTCCTAGAGCACTCAAATTTGGCCAATAGTTGCTCTGAAACACATTGTATCCACATGCCAAAATTGAGCTCTCAAGAACGTTGTTTACCCCCCCTGACGATAATAGGTTAAGGTATTGCCGAAGCCAACTTTTCCCCTACCTTTATGAAAGATTTCGGTCTTCTTAGAAATTTTGTACAGCGTGACAAAACAGGTTTTTCGCACTTTTTGTACACATGGTAAATATTTATTTTTTAGTTGTTCCATGATCTTAGTACAGGGCTGGTAGCGATCACTGCTATCAGAAATAGTGATTTTAGTGACCATGTTCAATCAATAAGTGACCATATAGTGACTTATTGTTGTGAAAATAGTGACTAAAAAGTGACCTAAGAGAAGGCGCATCAAATAAATGGTTGATGTTTTAGATTTATTCAACACTTATGAACGATATGAGCCTTTAAAGCGAAAGATTCAATAGAAAGTTTATAACCAAACCCACGTGTAGTTTATTAGTTAGGAAAACCAGGAATCCTTAGGAAGTTTTTTGTTTCCTTAAAATACCTGGAAGTCTCGAAGAGTTAAAAAAAAATCTTACTAAGGATAATTTAAAGAAAATAATGAATTTTAAAATACAACCATTTAATTTTTCTCGTTATTCTCATTCGCACTTGGAACATTAAAGATACACAGTTGCTTTCTGAAGACCACTGTCCTTCTGTGAAGTTTCCGAAGTTTTTCTAAATTTATGGAACTTTTGTGCTTCCGCAATTTTCATGGAATTAGAACGAAATAGTTAATATAGTTCTATGATTTTCACTGAAGTTCAAAAGATTTTTCTGAAGTTCATAAAACTTCCCTTAAATTATCGACACTCATTTAAAACTTCTTCAATAGTCTAGGCTTTCCTGGTACCTAAACGATTACTGAATTTCTTTAAAGTTCTCTAGACTGCCCTGAATTTATCAGTATTTTTTAAGAACCCGCAACTTTACTAAAATTAATTAATTTGCCTTGAAGTTTCGAAAATTTTCCTTACGTATTATAACCATTATTAACACTCGCTTTTCCCAGAGCTTATCTATGCTTACCTGAAATTCTCTAAATTTGTTTAATAATTTAATAATTTTCTGAGATATATTCATAATTCCCTGACGCTTCTGACGTTTAAGGGTTAATCATAGAATTCTTGGAATAACCTATAATTCCACGGAACTCCTTGTAAGTCGCTGCAAATTTGCTTAAGTTAATTGGATTATTCTGAAGCAGTCTGATCGTCCTCGAAGTACTCGGAAGTTCGCTAAATATCATTAAGCTATCTAAACATATCTAAATTTAGTACTCTGGAATTTCTTGAAGATATCGCTGCTTGCTAAAAGTTCTCGTTTTTTTTTTTTTTTTTTAATGGAACTTCGTTGATGTTCTCTAATTAACTTAGCTAAATACTCTCACGTTTTCCGGATGTTCATAAAATTTTCAGGAATTCTCTCGGAGCTTTGCAGAAGTTTTCGGAAATCCACTGAGTTTCTCAAAACTTCTTTAAAGTTTCTAATATTTCCTTGAAACTATTTGAACTGCCCTTTGATTCTCTGACCTGTATTGATGTTCTTGAAGCTTCCAAAAAGCTCTTAGTTCTATTGAAAATCTCGGTTCTGCTCGGAAATAAATAGAATTCCCGTAAACACTTTTAAATTTACCGGAAATTATCTGGACTTCTGTGAAGTTTCCGAAATATTTTTGGAGTTTTCATAAATTCTCTGAAGGTCTCTGTACTTGTTCTCGATTTGTTTTTCAGCACATCATGTGACTATCTTGCATTTATCTAAATTTAGGATTATAGATTTTTAATCTATCTAGCTTCTCTGAGGTGCTTAGAACTTCTTAAAAATTTGCACAATACCCATAAAGTTTTCCCTTTACTTTTTCCCTAACTTCATAAAAGTTCCTGAAAAGTCTCGAATGCTGAAATAACCGCTTTGAGGTTCTTACAGCTTCCAGTAAGTTTCCCATATTTTCAGCGTGTTAACTTCCCTTCCTGCAGTTTGTTTATAGAGCTTCACTGAAATTCTCAGCATTTCCTTTCATTTCTCAGAACTTCTCCAAAGTTCCTACAATTGTTGTAAAGTTAATGGAACTGCATTGAAGATCTCTAGTCTTTCATAAAGTTAATTACGAACTTGAAATATTTTTTTTTTTACTTAATTCTGGCACTTTGAATATTTTCAATATCTTGAACGTGTACATGGAATACGAAACTTCAAGACGTTGAATATTTTTAGATCTTGGACTTACTTACTTGGAAAACAAAGGTAATTTTATTCAGAAAAATGAGGAGACATCCTGTATATAGAGAAAGACAATTAAACTTCACAACGCAAAGAATAATCAATTTTG